GAAAGTGCGCTTCTTAAATGGGTACCAGTCGACAGCCGTCTGTATGCAGTTCAACGGAATCGCTTTGTAGGAACTGAAAAAGATCATGACACTTGTCAATGTTCATTCGTAGTCTACGCCTCTGCACACGCTGCCTTCAGTGCGTTCCATCAAACGATGTCAATTTCGTTACATACAACAAGTTTCCCAGACAAACTAATAGTACCCAATGACTTCAACGCTGAAGTAGAGCTGAGCCAATGAAAAGGCATCTGTGAGTCATCTATGGTAAACCGTGCTCACAAACCGGCAGCAATGATTGTGCGTTGCCATTTTGTTCTGACAATCACTTGTTTCTGGCCAGCACTAACCTCAAGCAGACGAAGAGGCACTATCTCACATGGTGTCGGCCGACATACCAAACCAACAGTGGACACAGATTATAGACTATTAGCCATGGTTGGAGAGGCAGAGTGAAGGATCGTCGCTCTTTTTGCAGTACTTGACTAGACTTGGATCATGCGTTAGTAAGTGTCATCTATTTCTAAGCCTTATAGATGGAGGAAACATGACAGTTAAATATCTACGCTCAGATGAAATTAGAACACCAAGTATCTATCTTGGTGTAATATTCAGTCTGCTGTAAAACAAAGCTTAAGACAGTTGGTAATCTACATTCAGAGGTAGGGGGTCAGTGGATTTCTATCAGTTTATCCTAACTGATCAGTGCAAGAAGACTCAGTTTAGTTCATGAAGCATCGTCTAACATTTTACAAATGGAAAAAGCATGCCAAATACACTTCGATCAGGCGTTCAGAAAACTCTACATCGACTAAAAGGGCTTTATCGTTGGCTACTCGAACTTCACCTGGTCTCCTTCTTGGAGTTAATCCGTCGCACTAGAGTCACAAGTACCTAAGATGGTATCTATCATCACATCCTTAGTAAATAAAGTTAAACGGGAATGGGCAAAGCATGCAACCCTGCTGGACATCACTAGTTGTCTGTATATCAGACGACATCTGTCCATATATCCTAACATGGTTGCAAGAATTCCAGTAAAATGAGTCAGTCTGCATAGTACACTGCCCAGCCAGGCACTGTCACAATTACTCTCGATTGACGGAGTCAAATGCAGTCTTTGGACCAAGAAACAGTCGGGTTCCGACAAGTTTGTTTGTGTTCCAAAACCCGCTGAAAGGTAAAAATTTCAAAGGTATACCGTCGACCGCGTTTAGAGTCTGCCTGGCTTTCTGAAACCGCATTTAGGAACCAGAAGACTAGGGACTGTTAATATAATGTCAGTTGAACTAATTCCACTGTGATTGCTACAAGTTGATTTACCCCGTAGCCTCACAAAATGAAATGACAAGAGATATAAACCACCGCCACATGAATACCACTGATTAGCATCCACCATTGGTTTACCCAGTGATCCTCTATTTCTGTCATTGGAAGCTTCCGATGGCAGAACGTCAGATCCTGCTGCTTTCCATCGCTTCATTTTAATTGATTTATTGAGTATCGCACGATGGAACAGTATTATTTACTGGACACAATTTGTCAATGAAGATAACTACACAACTTTGAGACATGTTTTATATAGTTCCAATTTTATCGCCTCCTTTGTGATATGGGCATGAGAATTTTTCATATATCCGGAACAGATGCTGAGTAATTCCTGTTACATGTACTAGGTGTCGATTTGATAAACAAAGATTCGGCTATCATTCTCTCCGTCCTCCCCGCTGTTAGTTTTAAGAATTTCCACCTTATCCTAATGTGTGGTTTTGTATGATTGCATGCACAGCTATGGCCTAGCGTTTTTCATAATTCCTTACTAGGATCCACCAATTTTGACCAAGCTAGGTTTTTGTGCTCGAATAGCCTAATGGGGCCTGGTCAACTACTATGACCTAGCTATTAGATCTCGCAATCGTTGCAAGAGACTCGGTAAGCTAAAAAATTCTGCCTAATTGGATCAACACGATCTTTTAACCTGAGAAGCCAAATGTGTTTGTAGGTTTAAATGCAACATTAGTCCCAGCCTTATTGGGAATCCTGCGTAATATCTCTGACGTGCCTTCTCTGTACGGTAATACTGTCTTAGATCAAAGATTAGAAACCAGATACATTAGGGCACATTCCTCACTAACAGTTAGTTATCAAGTTCCTTAGGAATCGTAAGAAAAATATGACTGATATTAGCAACACAGGTGTTAATGGTAGTAATAAATGTTAATAATAATAGCGGCAATACTGTGAATGCAATACACGCAACAGGAATGAATCAGCACCTGTTCCAGATATATGGAAAATCCTCCTGCCACATTCACAAAGGAGGCGAGAAACTGGAACTATATAAACCACGTCTAAAAGTTGCATAGTTATCTTCATGGACAATAAATTGTCTGAAAGGTAATCCAGTAAATAATACTGTTCTACGGTGTGGAACATTTAATGAATCAAATAAAATGGAATTACATTCTACCACAGTGATGAAGTTCTACCCTAATATTCCATTGTTTCGGGTTTAAACAGACATCTTAACTTTAAGCTTTGCATGACCAACTTCATGGTCTAGTTAAGCTACATTTCACAGTAAATCCTGATAGGTAGTTGCAGTTAATTTCATCGATATTGCACCTAGTTATTTGACTTACCGGTTACACTTTTGAATTGATTACTGAGAGACTTAATCGAATCGGTATACGCTGAGAATACTAGGATCTTTAGTATAACTATATGATGATATTCAACAGGTAATATTAGTCAATTTTTTTGTATTCCATTTGATGCTGGATTGTCTTAAAACCTAATGACTACGAAGGTTAAGCATAACCATACAGCTGAAAGGATTTCTTCAATTGTGAGAGAGCTCAACGTTAGGGTTTAGCTCATGTCTGTAAAAACCTCAGGTTCATAATTAGTTTTTCTACATGGAGGATTACTGCCTCAAAATATCTCGTGTTCTCAGCCTCTTGTTTAATTGCTAATCGCTAATTGAATCAAGTGCTCTACAATATCAACCATTTCCAGTTCTAAATATTTAGATAATCCCTAAGTGCTTCTGAAATTAAGTATAGGTCTAATAAGATGACCGAATTTACGTAATTCAATTGTCAGTACATTTTACTACCATCTTTAGTTTCGCAAACTAGACCGTTCTAGTGAACCGTGTAAGATATCTGGATAAGTCCTAGTTTTCATAATCTAGATCGACGAGAACAGTAGGAAACTACAACCCTGAAAGCAATATACGTAAGAAATCCGATAGCAGTGTTTACCAGATCAATAACAGGCTATTCTTGAAAGCAAAACGTTTTCTGTTAACAAATGTAACTTCGATGAGCATGGACAGAACAAAATTGTGAGTTCAAATTGCGCAGAGTGGAATTACTTTAACCTTGTGGTTCAGCACTCAATGGAAATTTGCTTAAAACTTTGAGTAGCCTAAAAAATCAATTTCAAAATTGTATTTATATCAATAAAGCTACCTAAATTACTATGCTAACAACTTGGCCTCTACTGTTTTATCTACGAGCACTATCAAGTAGTATTGCTTTCCAGTGATCATAGAATCAGATAATTTGCAAGCATGTTTACTCGCTGCAAAGTTTTTTTAAATTCACGTTTTCTGAATGTACTCGTGAGAAAAAATAGGACACCAGCAACACTTCGATGTTTTATGTTATACATGTTGAAGTAGAGATAAGGAAATTAGTAACCAATGTAATGAATATTTGATTTTCAATTTGTAGTATACACTGAAACCAGATAGCTTCTTCATAATACTCCGGCTATTTTCAGTAACATACACTCAAAACTTCGTCATTCATATAAAGTAAATTCCTAGGTCAGTTGAAAGAAATTGAACTCAGCGAATTAAGTTTTCAAGATAGGTAAACGCTTAATACATCATGATTTTATTTTCAGATGAAACATGCTTTCCTGATATTACAGAATTTCACTTGACTTTATTAGAACCTACAACGACCGTCTTCAGACAACACATTAGTAGATAGTGTACAACTAAGCTATATTTGTAAAAGAAATACGTCTGGAAGTCAGTACATGTATGTTTAATGTACAGAATGAAAAATTATGAATTTCTGTCCCAAGTCAAAATCTACTCGTTGAGGAAAATAGACCGATTACCACCACAGTTTCTGCTTCAACCACTTGAATATACAAGGCTTATTAACAATCCATTACATGCAGATATTCCTCTCTTACTAAGATGGATCACCACTTACTACGATAGTATGAATCAACATGATTGTCTAATCAGTTACATCACATATATTTCCCAATGACATAGTGAAATTTACTGTCTGAATTCATAGCTACCAGAAAAGCCTGTGACAGTGTTCAATAATGTGTGCAGAGCACTGATACATTATTCACTGATTGGTGTTACAGCCTGTAGTATCCCACATCCTGGAGTCCACCTCTAGCTACTATCCATCATTATTATCTTCCCATCACAGCTTACAGACGGAAGTTAGTCAATATCAACAATGTTTAACCGTCAAGTTGCCATACCGCATACCAGTAAAGCAGGCGAGAAGGTACAAGGACTTAGAGAAGATAGAAGTAAGGAGGAAAGTACTCCAAATTGGTAGAAATTCATGAGAAAACTAGAAGGAATGAAACAATAATGAAATTCGGTAAGATGATTAAGATAAAGTGTGGATACACGTTCTCCATCAAGAACGATTCTGAGACATATCGCCTAGAGTCATAATCCACCGATTTCAGTTGTCCCGCCAACCTCATCTAGGAAATTTACATTTCTCAATACCACTTAGACCAACAGTTAAAGAAAAAACAACATTAGATGTGATTCGAAATAAAATTTAAAACGTAAAAGTACAACTGGAATCTATCTCAGAGATTATGTCAAGGAAAATCTTTTTGATCACAAGTGGAAATTTACAATGTACGCTGCAAACTGCAGGTGTATGTGAAAGTTACAAAACGAGTCATTTTGGCTGACATAGGAGATGGATTGTTACATTTCAATGTTGTGTCCATTGAATAGACTTTATATCGATGCCTTCTGATACCATCTCCCATAGAGGGCTGAAATATAAAGTGACATTATGCAAGGTCAGATAGAATTCTAAAAAAGTCATAGAGAATAAGAAATTTTCTTGGGTTACCAGGGAATTAAACATTAGGTAATTTATACCGGGTGACGATTGAAGGTTAAATGAAAATTTGAGCCACGGGAGGATTCAAACCAGCGACCACTGAGTTTCGGGTCCGCGGGCTACCAACTGAGCTACGAAGCTTACTTCTTGTAACTGAACTCAAACCAAATAGGTGGAGGAATTATGAAGTGAAATATTAAAAATAACTTGATAAAATCAACGCCGACTAGTCAATTAAACTGAACCTATAGAATTATTTCACATCTAAAGCAAGTGACCTCAATGTTGTGTAGAGCTGTCGCTCATTGGTTTGTGGAGATGACTTTCAATCAATAGGTCACGGGTTCGAGATCCATTCCATCTATCGAGGTTTGGGCAACCAGGTATTATCATTAACCCTCACATAATAGGTGTGGTTGACTGTCTACAGGAAGAATGTGAAGAAAGTTAAGTGCATTTCAGGTCTTCACCTCAATGTTGTGCAGCAGGGAACAATCAGATAGAAAAGCTAGTACAGTTAAAATCGCAGTAGAGTAGAAAGACAAATTTACGAAAGAAATGTATTTACCATATTTCAGTTCAGTAGGAAGGTAAATTCTTGACTTCATGGGGGTTAATTTTTTGAAGGATAAAACCTGTACGAGTTATCACATTTTCAGATAGTAAACACAACAAAATATATCACACATGCATACAAAACAAAGGAAGATTATGCATTTCATTATCATTAATTAGTATTTATGGAGTTTAAGGTGTTGTCAATTTTTTTAATAAATATACATATTTGCGTGTAACTGAATGTGAATAATATGAGAAAAGCTAAATGCATGAAAATTTCAGTTTCCGTAATTATGAATGCGTTTTAGCAACATCTGCTTATGGTTGATACATTTTTCATGTTCTATGCAGACACATAACCCAAGTGGATAGAACAACTAAATCACTTATCCAGTGCTCAGATCAAACTTCGACTCTAATATTACAAAATCATAACTAAATTTATGAAGTTTTGCTATCATCAGAGAATAAAATCTGCAGAAACTATCACATATTTAAACGGCAACAAGAACAAATGGGATAACATTACCAATGCAAACCAACAAAAGAAATCCATACCATGTCTTTCAGTAGACTGAGTACAGATGCAAGTAACATAATGAAAAACGGATGGGATACAAACCACCCGCCTATTGGACAACTGAAGACAAACTGTGCCCAAGAAATAAAGCGTTCCACTAATGATGAAGCTCTTTCGGAAGACTATCATACTTCAACTCAGAAACACCAATAACTTCCACGAATCCGTATGGTTGCTCAAAATCAAAAATTGACCTTGGAATAATTCATTTTAGTGACTTCACAACGTGTTCAATTATTGTTGTTATTATTACATATAAATAAAAAGACAGAATCTTCCATGAATGAATTTTTGCTGAAAGGAATTGTAGCACATGCTCAATTTAAGCAGCACAGAACTACATGTATAACTTTATGCTGATAGGCTAAAAGAAGATGGTACTGAGCATATCGTACATATCTACTTATTACTTCTATCTTTCTTGAATTTCCTTTAATGACAAGGTAGGACATTTCAATTTCTAATAATTAATAATTCATGTCGAACAAAAGCATTCAATGGTAGCCATTTATTCATAATTCAGGTACATTTTTCTATGCAACTGAAATAATTTACCAGCTGAAAATCAGAATATCTTTGAACAGAAGGTATTTGTGTTAACCTGCTACTTCGGTTGATTAATTTTACTGGGATGAATGAATTGAAAGAAAAATTGAGAAGTTCATTAAGCAACCTTGTCCATGTTCGTGCAGTAGGTGATGAGCTACACCCACCGTGTTAGGGCTAATGATATCACCTGGCTGCCCAGACGTCGGTAGGCGGATCAGGGTTCAGACCCATGATTGCTTGGTTGGAGGTCAAGTGTTTAGATCCACAAACCACACGTCCAAACAATTTCTCCCTCAGTATATGAGCTCCATGAATGGATGTCCTGACATTGTTTTGAATTTCATTTTATAGAGTTTTCTAGGTGACGGCCAGCACTGAAACTCATTGATATGCAGATTCGATAAGTAGAATATTCAGAAATGAAATACTCAGTTATTTACAAGAATTTGATCACGTCCAAACAGTCATAACTTGACTTTCGAAAAACAAGCAGTCAACCAACAGTAGTGTGAAGAGTTATCATTAGTCGACAGTTTCTCATTGATGCACAGAGTCGCACTATTTTTATGCGTTCAGACAGTTATATGCATTGGATATTTTTTATTTATCCAGAACTAAAGACACAGTATTAAAATTGAAAATTTAGCCACTTGTATACACGAAGTTCTAATTTCATAGCACTCAACTTAGTAAAGTTAAACACAGTCATATATCAACTTTTCAAGATTGTATATATCAATGAAATATACACATCTCGTAAGACACTAAAACTAACCTCATTTCACGCAGTCGTTTAACGTGTTTCACCACTTCAGCTATTGTAAAATCAACCTCTTCTTCAGTAGTAAATCTACCGATGCCAAATCGAATACTGGAATGAGCTAGATCCTCTTCAGCTCCAATCGCTCGTAAGACATAGGATGGTTCCAATGAAGCCGATGTACATGCACTGAATTAAAATCAAATAATTAATCAAGCAATTCAAAAATGAATTTGCTAACAAATCCAAATTATTATTACTATTATTAGTCCCTTGGTTCCTAATGGAACATAAAGCTTCAGTAGCACGTCTCAGTGAACTCTCTTCTCTGCAGTCCTTTTGAACCTGGCTCCACGACAGCCCACAACCTCTTATTTCCTCCTCGCACCATCTCCTCCATGTCACCCCCACCTCGGACGTACAACTCGTCGCTTCCCATGGGAATTCCACTCGAGGGCCTCACGCGTGATGTCCCCAGTCGGCCTTCTCAGTGTATGCCCAATCCATCTCCACTTCCTTCTGCATATTTGTTCAGCGATAGCTTCTTGGTTGGTTCGTTCCCAGAGCTCCTTGCTGCTTATTCTCCTTATTCTAGCCATCTGATCTTCAGTAGCGAGCCAGCGTAAGCAGTTGTTGATGAATGTCTGTAGTTTATTGGAAATCCCTTTCGTAACGCGCCAAGTCTCTGAACCATACAGAAGCACTGACTTGACGTTGGTGTTGAAAATCCGGATCTTGTTCCACATGCTGAGTGGAGTGCAGAAGATCTCCACACTGGTTTCAGGCTAATGAACGCCTGTCTTGCTTTTCCGATTCTGACTTTGACATCCTCGTCCGTCCCGCCTGTAGTTGAAACAGTGCTTCCTAGATAGGTGAAGGAGGTTACTTCCTTTAAGTTTCTCCCGTTGATGGCGACCGGAGTTTGTTGTTGTTGGTGCGGTATCTTCATCACTTCTGTCTTCTCTATATTCACTTGAAGTCCCGTCTTGGCTGCCTCTTCTGTCAACTTGTTAGTTTCGCCTGTAGATCTTCAAGTTTGTATGACATCGGGCACAAGTCATCACTGGCGAAATCCAGATCTCCTAGGTTCTTTTCCGCAGTCCAGCCAGTGTTTCCCCTCTTCTCGCTCCCCACTGTTTGCTGCATGATCCAGCCGACCACAACACAATCAGGAATATCATGGGTGATAGTAGGCAACCTTGTTTCACTCCTGTCTTCACTTCAAAAGCATCACTGAGCTTCCCATTGTGAATTACTTGGCCGGCATGTGGCATCTTCATATAGTTGTTGAATGAGGCTGATAAAGGTTTGCGGTATTCCGTAGTATTGAAGCAGTTTCCAAATTACCTCTCGGTCGACGCTGTCAAAGGCCTTCTCAAAGTGGATAAAGTTGAGGTAGAGAGTTGACTGCCATTCTATACTCTGTTCTATGGTGATGCGAAGCGTTGCAATTTGGTCCGTACATGATTTGTACTTCCTGAAGCCTGCCCGTTCCGATTGTAGTTAACAAACCCAAATAATTTTTTATAATTTTCACTGAGGAAAAAGAAATGTCGTAAGGAACTGGGAATCTTAATGACTATTTGTCGTACAGGATTACCATGAAATCCTTATCCTGACTAACCAAAATCGTGGAAAATATTCAAAAAGTAACTACTTAACATAAAATTAAAACATATTTCTCCTAAACTTTCACCGTTGGTCATTATTCGAAAGCCATTTCAGTGAACAAAGAATATTCTTTTCGACAACTTCATCTTAAGGTCCTACAGTTGTATTTACATATTGAGGAATTATGAGTAAACAATATTGAGGTTACGCTTATCAGTTTTTTAGTCATGTTATACAGTTGACATCAATTCACAAAAGTCTTGCGTGAATATTAATGACAGAACTGATTTTATAATTAATGTAATATTATTAACAAACTGATGAACAGAATTTCAACATTGTCGACGTATAATTCCTCAATATGTAAATACAACTGTGGGATCTGAAGAAGTTTTTGAAAAGAATATTCTTTTTTCACTCAGATGTTGTATGTCTATACGTTTAAATGTGAATCCGAAGCCTTTTACTGACATTATTATAAAGAAACTGATGTTTGGTGATCAAATTTACCAAGTAACACATTTCTTTAGGCTTCCTGGAACAACATGAGTGTAAGTTCAAAATATCAAATAAATTTTAAAAAGTGTAAATGCCCCTTTAAATCTGCTGGTTACACTACTGAAAGGTAGTTTCTATCACGGTATTACGTAACACCACACCTAGATGGTCTGGTCTTGCTGTAAGCATATTACTCAACTACTGAAATGGATCAGGTAGTCGACTATACTCCATTCTTGAGAAGCTATATTTCTCAGTTATTATAAAATATCAATAGTTCACACCTATCTACACTGCCGAATTGGTTGTAAAAGACGGCTACAGAAAAATTGCACGAACAATACAAGCATATTTGTACTAATATGACTGTTTAAGCGCAATATCTAGGTCTTCGATACCAATTCCTCAATAGTCAACATTAAAAAAATTGGTGTGTCAGGAAATACTGTCTTACAAACCAGAAAAATATCTAATTCTTAAACCACTACAAATCAGGAGTTTGGATAGTATTATCAATTTTTGTACGTTTAATACAAAATTGTGGCTTACAAAATAATATGCGATACAATGCAACTAATCAACAAGTTTGCAAACGTGGCAAAACAAATTTAGAAATTAATCTTCTGTCACTACACTGGAAATTCCAAACCTAATCTCCTCTACGTCATTTCAAGCAGCTAAGTAGCATAACTAATAACGACAACAACTGTGCCACATAGAGTTGTACACAAACTGGCAACAGGGAGTTCATTTTCCTGTTTCTTTCGATCAAAAAGCACACGTGAAATATTCTCGGCATACAGGATGGATGAAGCCCAGAAGGTGAGTTTTTATACTGAACAGGACATAATAGTTTATACAGCGGCCGAAAATAGAACAATCACCAAACTAAAAGTATGTTCAATCATCATATCAACGTACACTTTTTAGTTAGTTTGCATGTATCTAGTATAGAGAAAACCTTCAAATAGACATCCTGAGAAAAAAATTACCTGCCAGATGATAGGGCAATATCCTTTACAGCCATGAGTAAACTTTCACCTTCCACATATGCGAAACTGAAGTTGATGCAGCCTGGATAACGTTGAACTGGGTCACCATTTAGAGTAACATGCTGGATCTGTGATGTGATACCATCGACTAAACGTTTGCTTAACATTGAAATGTGTTCATGATCATCCTAAATGCAATCAAATAAGAACTTTAAGTCTATCACTATAACGGTAAGGCATGTGTCAATGATTTACGGAAAAATAAGATTTTCAGCCATACCCAAAAAATAGAGCGAAATATGAACTTTCGCGTCATTTGGGTGCTGTAATTTTGACCAGGGCATGCCAAATTTACACTGGTGATGCCACTGATTAGATTTCCAACTATATATCAAAAGCCAGACCAGCAATCTGGGTCATCATCTATAACGCCATCATGATGCTAACCTTAGGGTACAGAATAAGTCGACAAAGACGGTTCTGCTCTACGCTTGAGCAACCTGACCTCTCCGAGGTGAGGATAACTGATGGTTTTGCACACTCAGTCATTGCTGTTTGCGTATGGATGTTAGTATCCGACAGGAACACCTTGTAAGCGATTCCAACGTGAGGCCTTATGTTTGGGCGTGATGGAAATAGTTATTCATTGAGTGACGTCATCTTGAAACATCAGCTTCGGTGGCTTCGGAATGCTAAAAATATCGTTGGAGTGACATCCGAACCGTCAACTATACGCTTACTCTGAAAGTGGTTAAAAGAAAGTGACAGGTGGTTGGTGTATGATGTGGCACTGCTGGATGAAAGATGGTTATGTAGTGTTATCACCTATTTTTGGCGTCTTGTTTCACTCTTATCAGGTAAATTCTGGCCTCTTGACGTTTCTACATTAATTCACATTTTTGGCGCCTGTTTTGTACCAACACTGTGTTTTATATGAATAATAATCTAATATAAGGTTATTCTTTCAGACAGGGTGAGTATTTGATAAATAATGATATCACTGTCTATCAGTACGCTAGGAAAATAGTTTGCACAGTGGAAAGATAGCTTGAAAGAAGCTGTGATTTTTAATGTCAATGACTTGAGTAATAATATGAACACAGTTGAATAGGGTGATCTCTAAAATGAGTTGGATGTAACACTCAAATCCTTTTACGTTCAAACTAATCAAAGTATATTGACAATAAACGAAAACAATGACTAGGATCAGTACAGATAACTTTAAGGTAATAAGAAGCCGAATAATTGAAAAATGAAAAGAAATTAAGAAAATATACGTAAACTCTGCGTTGTTTATGCACACTATCACCTTAATGCTAGCCCATTTACGATCAATAAACAAATACAGCACTACTAGTCATTAATGTGCATTTTAGTCTCCTTCATTTTATTAGCAACTATATTGTAATCACTTGGATTAAAATAGGTGGCATCGTCATTGGATAGACAGTTTATTCATTAACAGAAAATAAAGTTGAAAGTCTTAAGAATGATAAGAAATCATCCAGACGGTCGATGTTAACTTGAGATCTGGTATTACTGTGTACTATTTTGAGTTACCAAGTACTACATCAAAATATTAGGGAGAAAAATGAAAGTTAAGGAAAAAGGAAAGGAAGAACAAAAAGTGGAAGAAACTCATTAGGACAGGAAAGCGTCGTTAAAAAAATAATTGTATCTAAGTGAGAGTTTAGATATCTACAAATTGTTTTTCACCGGTTAAACCGTAATATGCATTAAAGGAGTCCGTCACACCATCGGACTAGAATTCATACAAGTATTCAGTGTAAAGAATGAATTCCCCTACGAATACATAGACAATGAGGACACAACCTAAATATTGTATTTGTAAGACAGAGGTTACTTAGAACATGACAGTAACCCAGCAGTAGGTATGATGAAAGTGAATACATATTACCATCAATTACCACTTGCCTACAACAAATAAGATAAGTATCGCAGTTTACGAACCGAATTTGCTCGTAGTTTTGATCGCCCATCACTTTCAGGTTTTTCTGCACAGTAATTTAACATAGTCTGGTCTGTACTGGCTCAACGCAAAACAGTCGATTGTGATAGCTTTTGATCTCCAACAGAGCCTAAAACAGAACTTAATAATAACACCAGATCATCTGAAATAAGCAACAGACTTATTGCAGTAAGACGTTTCTGCAGCTCATGTATCAGTAGCAGGAGCCTTAAAAAACCAGAAAGATAAACAAATGAAGAATGAATGAAGATGAGTTGTTTGGTAAGCAACTGTCGATTAGTCAGTCAGCCATTCAGCATCCATGTGTGACGTAGTATTACTGCGCAACGCCAAGATGGCCACACCTTATTTCAGTGCTTCGACGTAGAAAAAACCAAGGCGAAAGACATAAATAAGGCAGAAAGTAGCCACAATGGTAGACAGGCATGAGAAGAGAACGAGAAGTAATAAACCAATAACAGAACTCGGTATCGCAATTGAGATGAAGAAAAGGTGTAAATGTGTCTGCGTCACTGAGATAGATTCCAAGACACATAACCTAGAGTCTCCAACAACCGATTTCGGTTGTCACGCAGACTCCGATTGGGAACACCCCATTCCCTAACACGACTTGCACCAGTGGTCAGACTCCATGGACTGGCACCATGTTTCAGTCTGGTCACCCTCAACCTTTTACCAACCTATAGCTACTTCGAATGACTTTGTGAGATGGGATAGGCGGTAAGTGAGCATACATACATCACAATCATCTCAATCGACAAACGTTCACAATGTCACCATCTGACTTACCTATTCCAACTTGAATTCTTCATGTATTTTACGATACTGACGCGGTAACGAAACACGATTATGTAATAGTGGCTGAATGTCAGTTGGACTGTTTTATCTGTGTTTCAGTCAACCTTCTAGTGGACTTCCTTGAGAGTGAATAGTAAATACATCATTCATTGTCAGTCAATCGCCAAACTCTTCGCCCCAGCGTCCCTAATAAAAGAAAAAACCCGCCTAATGCTACCGACCACGTTAGTCCTCACAGCAAACCACTATTCGAGGTCATTGCATACACATTCAGTTAGTCTACATTTGAGCTGCATTCGTTCGCAATTAAAAGCAATTAAGGAGAGTGTCAGAGGGCTACTTATCAGACGAACTGGGGTGTTTGCTACTGTATGGCACTCAGATACGATCACCTCTAACCAGCCTCAATCATTGATTGTCCTCATCTTCGACAAAGGTGAGAAGTCCTCTTGTGATAACCAAAGGGAATCAGTTTGACGAATATAGTACCTAAGACCCTAGGTTCTGTAATCATTAGACATCTAAGAGGCCGGGAACAACAAACCCGAGGAAGACAGGCAGGCTTCAGACCTAGCCATGTGTGAATCGGCCAGATATTCACTCCCCACTAGGTCCTGGAACACAGGCACACATAACAACAACCAACACTAGCTGTATTTCTTGACCTGAAAATGCCATTCGACTCCATCAGTTGTGATGTAGCAGTGTCTCTGAGTATATGAATGGGTGCCATCACTTTTTAAGACTCTGTACTCGGATACCCGTGGGTCTGTTAGAACTTTTAACGAGTTTTCAGGTGAGCGGTATACATCGAGTGGTGTCTATCAAGGATGTCCACTCCCTCCATCCTTGTTCAACTTTGGAGTAGACGTACTTATGGAAGTCTCCATCTCATCATCTGATTTCACAAGGATTGATCTTAACACAGGAGAATTCTCGGTAGATCAAGAGAACGCAAGTGACATGGTCGTGTTAGGTTAAGACACTGACAAGATGCAGATTCTCTTGTACTCTTTGAGTGGTGATTTGTGAATGTTTGGTATAAGTTCCTTGCCATCCAAATGTAAGTTTTTGTTACAGGAATGGTTTTCAGTGATGCCCTGTCTAACAATAAGTAGAGAAATGATCAAGTGTGTTGTGCGTTTCACTTACCTGGGACTGTTAGTTTGGGTCATGTAGGGAAATGCTGACTTTCTGGTTAGGGTCCTCGTGACGACAGAAACCGGTGGTTTGAGACCCTAGGTGACATGGTTCAGAATCGATGTCAGGGTTGCAGATGTATCCACATGTTATCTTCATTTTAATAATCACACTTAACTTAGGAATTTTGTTGTTCTTCCTTTCCTTTCTTCCTCCCCTTCTGACTGCTTTCTTTATTGTTTTACCTTTCATCTTTCCCGCTTGGTGTGCAGATATGAGATGCTTAAACTTTGACCATTACACAGTCATGCTAGGTCCTGAGCTTATTTTGTCTTTGTCTGATCTAAGCTCTGAAAATATTCCCTTTAGAATTCAAAATTGATTGTGACCTCATAAGCAATTACTGCTCATATGATTATACTGTTACAGTCAGTATATAACTCAAAGTTCATACTGAATTATGCAACAATTATCGCTTCATGACAATCGTCGTTGGAGGAGGTTAATATTGACAGTAAAAGCCATAAATCCTCTGAAGTATCTGTTAAAATTGGAGTACTTGAAATAAAAACAGTCGATTACAATACTCATTAAATCAGATACACTTGCTGAATTTTGCAGAACAAGTAGAATAAACTACATAGTCGCACCACAAGTACAGCTACGTATGAATGATCAAACTGAATGCCCCATCAATACTCTCTTAGAGAATTTAGTCGAACAGAAGAATTGTGAATTCCAGTAAAAATCTTTTTAAAGAATTTCAATTCAGCGGATTTACATTAGAACGCAAAGTAAAACATAATTTGGTCGCCCCAAAGGAAGTCTTAGCCCGCGAACTTCAATTATGCAATGTAAGAAACCAAAAAATAAACTAATGATATAAGGAGTCTGCATCAAGGTTATTTTCGGCACAGTCTCCTATGTAGCTGTTATTTTTATTGCTGAATGCAAAATTCCATGCGGTACATCGAGTTAGTTTTATATAATACATGACATATATCATAGTAGACAAAGGTGTATGGGAGGAGTAGAAATTCAATAATCAAGATTAGTGAAAATCTTCGAGCTTTAGAAGACCTCTAGGAGTAAGTACGTCTATGTCATTGTGACCGAATTCAAACCATTTCACCAAAGGTCTCCAACCATTGTTTCCTATTATCTCGTGGACTTTAGTTAAGCAGTTCACACCCTATATCATATAGATATGATCATGAGCAATAATTTTTGCTCGAAACCTCAACAAGTAAATGATACTGT